GCAGCCCGATTCGTAACCACTACGCTACCAGAGCTCCTTTGAGTCAGCTCCAAATCAGCGAGTCTGTGCACAACAGAATGAAATACTGCCTGGTTCTGCACACTCCTCACAATGAGTATGTGTGTGTTTATTGTTGCTGATATTGTAGCAATCCGTCTTGTTGACCCTTTACTTTACCAAGTATGATGTCCTGTATGTAGTGGTCCTTACTGACAACTTGTCCAAAGTACAAGGGATGAAGTTTTGGCATCCTAACTTCTGAGAAGCATTCTGGCTATAATTCCTCCAGGACAGATTTGTTTCTTCTTCTTACACTCCATGGTACTTTCAATATTCTCCAACACAATAATTCAAATGCATTCTGTGTGTGTGTGTGTGTGTGTGGTCTTCCTTATTCACTGTTCAACTTGCTCATACGTGTGAGATGAATTAAAATACCAAGCCTTGGGTCAGGTGTTCCTTAGTCCTCAAACTGGCATCTTTGCACTTAAACATTTTGAAGAGGTCATTTGCAGCATATTTGCTTAATGCAATATATCCTTTGATTTCTTGATTGCTACTTCCATAATATTGATTATGGATCCAAGTAAAATGGGTTATTTAGCAATTTGTGTGTTTTTATTTCAGCATATGCTTCATGACTAGAGTTATGTGAATTTGCACAGTCTGACAAAATAATCTAAATCATCTATTTAAAAAATGCTCTCAATCATTTGTATTTTCTACTTAGCCGAGTGTTGTAAATTTGGGGAACTTAAATTCTTTCTCAAGGACATGAATATGGCCACAGGTTCTTCACCGTTTCTCCCAGTGTTTGACACGACCCTGGGATGCTCATTCCAACCCTGTCTGGTCCATGTAGACAGTGCAGTTGGAGATGCCTGGTCTAGGTTAGGGTACACCTCTTACGGATCTGTTATTGTAAGGTGTACCACGTTAATTTCAACTCATATCGACTCCATGTAGCATAGTAGAGTAGGGTTTTCTAAGCTAAAACCTATATGAACGCAGATCACAAAACCAGTCTACTGTGGATTCTCTGCATGGCTTCAAACTGCCTTCCTTCCAGTTATCAACTAAATAAGCACTGGTGTACCACCTGGTCTCGTGGCCATGAAAGAAGTGCATTGGTATATTAGGATTCTTGTCCAAGCCAAACAGCAGTCATCTGTGACTTTACATATGTCATCACAATTCTTGCTAAAATCATTTTAGCACTCATTTTCATCTTTATAAGTAAAATTAACAGAATTTTTGACAGTTGATCCTCATTATTGGGGGATTTTCTATTTATGAGCTTGCCTACTCACAAAAATTTATCTGTAATCCCCAAATCAATACTCTCATCACTTTTGTGGTCATTTGTGGACACAGACAGGCTCACAGTAGAGGAAAAATTGAGTAGACTGATGCCTGAAACTATTTCTATTAACTCAGTGCCAGCAGAGACTTTATAAAACCTAAATACAATGAATGATGAGAATCGACATCTATATCTATCTATATCTATCTGTCCTTCTCAGTTCTAAACATGGCTTTTCTTTGTGCAAGAGTTCTTTATAAAGTAATGCCAATTTGGGTGCTGCAGGATAAGTAATTAACTGCAATGTTGGTTGGAATCACAAGTTTGGTGGTTCATATCCACAAACTGCTCCCTGGAAACTGTATACAGGGTCGTTATGAGTCAGAACCAACTGAAGGGCACTTAACAACATGTGATTAATAGAACTGAAAAAAAAAAATTATCTTTATAATCCCTAAAGAAATGAGAGTGTCCAGATGGTCCAAATGGTTACTACATTTGTCTGCTAGCCAAAAGGTTGGGAAGTTTGTGTTCACCAGGAGGTGGTTCAATATATAATATATGGGGTCACCAGAAGTTGGAATGAACTAGATGGACGCCCCTAGAGTACTAAGTGATTTAGACAATGACCATTAGGTGAATGGCTCATGGAATATTCTAATTTATGAACCTTGCTAAAGACCTCTGAACTCAATGATAAATCTTCAAAGCCTTAAAGGAGATTCAACCAGAAATTAGGTGCCTCCTGAGAAAATGCAATAGAAAGTTCACATACTAATGATGAAATATGTGTGCCAACAAATCAGGCGAGTTTGACTAATTTTGCCAATGAAATATTTTATTTGTGCTATCGTTCTTGCTAAGTGCTGTCAAGTTGGTTTTGACTCATAGCCACCCTCTATAGAGTTCCCGAGAAGCAGCTTCTGGCTTTGAATAGCCGACCTTGCAGTTAGCAGTCCAATGCTTATCCTACAGTATCACACCCAGACTCCATATGATTTATAAACACTTGTTTACACATCACAGATATTTGAGCGTCTCATTTGGAGATCAACCTTAAATAAGAAACATTGATTTTGAAGGGGAAAGTCAGAATTAAAACTATATCTAGACCCCGCAATCGGTCCTGACAGGCTCCCGAGACATTGGCCCCATGTGGTTTCCTGGTGTCTGGCCGCGTTCAGCAGTGCTGGTGGGAAAAGTTACGGGGTGACTAGGGTGACACTACTCTGGGGCCACGCAGGTGGGAATGAAAGGGGGCACGTGGACTTAAAGGCTAAGAAGGAGGTTGTGGAGGCAACAGAAAATGGAAGAGACGCACCCACTAATGGGAACGCTAACGAGGAAAATGGGGAACAGAAGGCTGACAATGAGGTAGATGAAGAGGAAGAAGGTGGGGAGTTTAAGGAGGAAGAGGAAGAAGGTGATGGTGAGGAAGAAGATGGAGATGAAGATGAAGAGGCCGAGGCAGCTACGGGAAAACGGGCAGCTGAAGATGATGATGATGAGGATGTTGATGCCAAGAAGCAGAAGACTGCTGGAGATGACGAGGCAGCAAAAAAGGAAGGGTTAAATTTAAAAAGGCCACCGTGAGCTATTCACCCATCTCAGAATCTAAACATGGTCATCTTCGAGTAGAGAGTCCCACCTGCCCACTTTGGGCAGCGCTACCCGCAGATAACACGCGCTCACCACCACCCAACCAAAATTACAACGTGAATTTGCAACAGGGGAGAAAAAAGAACCAAAACTTCCAAGGCCCTGCTTTTTGTTTTAAAAGTACTTTAAAAAGGAAAATTTATATTTTGAATGATCTCAGATGACCAAACCAGCCTTTGGAGCGTTCTCTGTCCTAATTCTGACTTTATTTGTGGTGTACCCATGTTCATTATAATCTCAAAGGAGAAAAAAAACCTTGTAAAAAAAGCAAAAATAACAACAAAAAAATTACAATCTTATTCCGAGCATTCCAGTAACTTTTTTTGTGTATGTACTTAGCTGTACTGTAAGTAGTTGGTTTGTATGAGATGGTTAAAAAAGGCCGAAGATAAAGTTTCTTTTCCTTTTTTTTTTTTTTGTCTATGAAGTCGCTGCTTATTTTTTTGGCCTGTTTGATGTATGTGTGAAACAATGTTGTCCAACAATAAACTGGAATTTAATTTTGCTGAGTTGTTCTAACAACAAAAATAAAATTAAATCTATGTGAGAATAAGATTCCATTTTAAAAACCTGATTTGAATGAAACGTTTCAATGAAATATCATGTATAAATCAAAGAATGCAAGCTTAGATTATCTGCCACCTTGGAATGAGTAGTTAATTGATAAAAGAAATCAAAATGCAATGAAAGTATCCCAGTCTTTCCTCTCTTCATTTTACTATTAAATATCCATTGTTACTTTCTCACAAATCAACAAAAGTCATGTATGTTACTTATTCGTATCACAGAGTTATCTAAAGTCACCTGGTCTTCTTGAACTAGACCTGAGAGAGGGGGGAAAAAAGGCACTGTTTTATTTTACAAATTCAATCTATGTACCTATAGTCCTAGGTTTCTGAGGTATTAGGGAAATTCCTCAAATACTCAGAGGGAAAAGAACCATAGATTGGAAGATGATACAGGTAACTAATTATCAAAACACCTAACTCTCAAAGAGACACAAGATTCTGTACAGAGCTATACAATTTGCCTTTAACTGTCCCCTTCTTCCTGTTCCTCTAGCTCCTCCCAGGACCTCCCTCCTTGATGATTTCATCCCTCAGATTCTATTGTGGTCAAATGAGAAACCACACTGGAGCCATTCTGGAAAAAGATTGGTTTAGAGTTGTGCAGTTAGAAATGTCTGGGTTCCAATTCCGGCAGTTTCACTTTCTTCTTATGTGATTTAGGCAAATGTCTATCTTGTCTGACTTGCTACATTCTCACCTGAAAAACAGCCAGTGTGAGAACTGTAAGGAATGCACAAATAATACCTAGCACAGTGTTTAGAACACAGAAAACTCTCAGGGCGTGATGCTTTTTAAAAAATGTGTGTAGTTTACTATGTTGAAGTCCTGGTGTAGCGCTGTGGGTTAAAGCGCTGCACTGCAAGGTCGGTTTGAACTGTAAAGTCGACAGTTCAAGCTCAGCAGTAGCTGGAAGCCCTACACATGGTTGCTGTAAGTTGGAATCAACTTGAATTTGATTTCCTATATTTCTAAATTTGTGCCAAATATAGCTTTGGGGCAAAAGAATAGGCAAGACTCTTTTTCCCATCCTAAAGACAAGCTCTTTTCTCATCTTCTTTGAGAATGAAGATTCTTTCCTCAAATAACTACTTATGTCTTTACCTTATCACAGGTATAGAAAGGAAGTTTCTGTGTTATTATTAGAAAAACAAGACTGGTATCACAAAAGAATCAACACAGCCCATCCCTTCAAATACCTGACTTATTGCAACTCCTATTTGTCCTTTGGAGTACTGGGATGGCAAGATCGGTGTGAACCACAAGGTTGGCAGTTCAAACTCAACAGCCACTCCTTGGAAACTTGGAAACACTATACACCACCAACTTGGTGGCACTTAACAACAACAACAATGACAACTTGACCTTTAATGGTAAGTAAGCTTGCCCTTACTTTGGAATGAATTAACCCACCCCTTGTTGCTGATGTTGTTAAGTGCCACTGAGTTAGTTCCGACCCACAGTGACTCTGTATAGGGTTTCTGAGGAGAGGCTGGTGAACTTGAACCACCAATCTTGCAGTTCCAACTGACTTTGCAGTCCAGCACATTAACCCACAGCACCACACCAGGACTCCTGAACCAACTCCTCCTTGCAACAAAGTCTTTATCACAATCGCCTTCACTTGCTGCATATACAGTTTCTAAATCATTGAAAAGGTTTTGGGTCTTTTCTTGCACTGAAGTATAGCTAAGTAAAACTCTTCTGTCTTGCCTATAAAGTCGATAGACTTAGGACATGATCTCATTGGTAATCCAGGAACTGCCTAGCCTATAGCTCTCAAGGATTTTGTCTTCACAGACAACACACACACACACACACACACACACACACACACAAATGCCTCCCTGGAGTTGTTTTGACCTTACTGAGAGGTGGAGGCTGCAGGTTGGTGGTGGTTATGTGTTATCGAGTCAAGTCAGATCCATAGCCATCCTGTATTGGATTTCCAAGGCTATATATCTTTATGGGACCAAAAATCCTCATTTTTCCCCCACAGAGCGACTGGTGGATTCAAACAAGTGACCTTGAAGTTAGCAGTCCAACTATGTCACCACTATGTCCACCGGAATCCACTATGCCACCAGAACTCCAAGAATGTGATGAAATGCAAGGGTATGTCTGTTTTTCCTGTTCACACCACTAGGGGGTGCAATGCTGTCTCGGTTCTCCATCAGGTCCAAGGTTTAGGGAGGCTCCCAACATAGGATTTTAGTGGTAGAGTGAGGCCTCTGAGGAGCCAGGGATTCATATCACTTACAAAGATAGAATCTAGGACATAGGCAGAGAGTAAAAGCCTAATTCAACCTCACCTCCAGAAAAGACACTAGGAAAACCAAATCAGCCCAAAGAGAAGAATGTGATCTAAGTCATTAGTCTCCCAACTTTCCTTAAGTTTGAATAATGATACCTTATAAAAAGAAAAAGACAACAGGAAAATTAAAAACAAGAAACAGAAGAAGCCTTCCTTGGCAATTTGATTATTGGGTCACTTCAAGTGAGGCAATTTAAGGAACCAGCAAATGCCGTTGGGGGAACTAAAATAATAACACGCAACACTAATATAGCACCTTTCCTCTTCAAAGCACTTCACAAACATGAAGTAATTAGGCCAATTAAAACTTGAAAAAGTAGCCTATTTAGACACAAGCTTCTTTCCATATACAGTGCATCTGCTGGAACTGGCTCTATAGTCTAATTTTCAACACAAAAGATGCTCACAGGAAAACAAGATACCCATAAATAACAAGCGAAACTTAATTTCAGAAGGATCTGGGTCTAGAAGCCTTTGAAGTATTTTAAATCACCAGAAGAATCCCCACATTTGATTCTTCTTTGAGATCCCTACCACAGACCTAACCACAGAGTTACATGTTTGACTGCTACCCACAAAGTCAACAGTTCTAATACACCGGTGGTTCCTCAGGACAAAGATGAGGCTTTCTGTTCCCATATGGATTTACAGCTTAGGACACCCTATATTCCAGGGTCACTATAAGTTGGAATTGACTCAACAGCAGAACCAGCACCGCCACCACAGACCCTGTGTAGGTAATGACTCCCTGGTAGTGATAAGTAATTGTGGCTGGTATCAACAGACAGCAAATATGAATAGTGTAGGAAATGAATGGGGGGAACATTTTAGGTTTGCCTTTTCATGATAAACTAATTCCCAAAGAAGAATCCCAGAATGACCAGGAAAGGGAGACAGTGTATTGAATTGGAGAGTGTTCTGAATTAGAAGTAAAGAAATATAGATCCTGGGGTGGTGCTGTATTACAAGCACTGAATTGCCAACCACAAGGTTGGTGGTTCAACGCTACTCCTTGGAAACCCAAGACAAGTTCTCTCTGAGTCAGAACAAATTTGATGGCCCTTAACAAAACATTCAAGTTTGAAGAATCCCTAGTGCCACAGAGATGAAAGTGCTGGCTGCAACTAGTGTGGCACTGGTGTGATGCTGCAGGGTAATGCACTGGACCACTCTGTTAGGTTGCACCACAATGCAGACAGTTCAAAGCCATCAGCTGCTCCTCAGAAACCCTAGACAGAGTCACCATGAATTGGAACTGAATCGGCGGCACTTAACAACAAGCCAACCAAAAGTCAGCAGCTTGAACCCACCAGCCACTCAATGGGAGAAAAATGTGGCAGTCTGATTTTATAAAATTTACAGGCTTGGAAACCATATGGGTAGCTCTACCTTGTCCTACATAATCACTAGGAGTCGGAATGAATTCAATGGCATAAAGTTATTTAAATTTAACATATAACTCACAGTGTGACTTAGGCAAACCAATAAGTTTATTTCTAGTTTCAGTCTTAACTTTGAAATAGGTTGTTTGGGTTAGATCAATGGGTTTCAGCATGTGTTCTGAGGGTCCCCAATGGAGGCAGGTAAATGCCTGAGTCTCTTCTCTGATTCTAGAAGACAAACTCCATTTTAATTGATTTAGACATTGTATTTTAATGAGATGTTGTATTTAAATAAACAGTCTCTTGTCTAGTGGAGTAAAACAAATAAACAAAACATTAGAATGGATGTTTTCAGAGTTCCCTTGCAATTCTGACATGCTATGATTTTATGAATACTACTCTGTAATATACATGGTATGTTTCAATGAAAATTTGATAATACTAGCATGCCATGCTCAGATCAGAAAGGAAACTAAAGATAAAGAAAAAGTTTGAGTTATTTCTTGTGTACTCTAAATCCAGGATTTTGTTGTTGTTGGGTACTATTGAGCCAATTCCAAATCAAAGCTACCCATGTGACAGAGCAGAATTTCCCATAGGGTTTTCCTGACTATAGTCTTTATGGTCTTTATACTGCAGAGTCACTGGTGGATTATAACCACTACCTTTCAT